GACCCAGATTGTTGGGGGCAATATGCTGACTCTCTGTAAACCGCTTAGAGAGGCCTGAAAGGCCTATGAAGCGGTATATAAGTCTACTGCTATTTCTGAGATTTCTAAAGCCTCCAAAAACTGCATGAGAATGTGGCCCTCTTTGCGGCTCCTAGAAGCTGTGCAAGAGCACATCCCATTCTCACACATCCTCCACAGCTTTTGAAAATCATGTAAGATCAGGGTCTACTTTCAATAGTTGTCGCGTGTTGTAAACACTAATGTGTTACCCAAAATGTCATGTGATGTCATGGATTCACCATCACTGTATATTACGGTAATTAGAACCAATCAAGAAAATTTTGCTCTGAATCGTTTTTGATATGAGGCAATGTTGACTAATCAGTTGGAATTGTTTGTGGTATGTATGTGTGCCTTTGAGTCAATGTTGATGACTGTCTGGGCTAGTTACTGCAGTTTACTTGGCTAGGTTTTTCAGATGCAGTTTGCCATTTTTTTCTTCCAAGGACTGGCAGCTCAAGGTCTCCTTATTGGCTTTGTGACTATGGCAGGACTAGGACTCATACTCTCCCAATTTCTAATCTGGTACATTAACCACTACATGAAACTGGTTCTTGCTTTCACAGCTAGATTTTAAAAATGCCTAACATTAGAATAGTTCAAAAGGGAGAAAGGGAAAGACAAGACTACAATTTAATCTGATTATGAGGAAAAAATCTATAATGCTGCCAAATGATATAAAACAGAATAGTACTGTACTTCCTGTGCATTTCAAAAAATTTTCTAGGAATTATTTTGCAATAATTGTCACAGCTCTAGAGAAGTATTTTTTTAAACTCAATAACTTTAAGATGCCTGGACTTTAACTCTCAGATTTCCTCAGTCCACACCTCTTAAGAGTTGCCAAGTTTGAAAAACACTATAATAACCCAAAATATGCTGCATATGAGTACTCATCCTATATTTCCTTCTGCTTTGTGACCCCAAAGCTTAGAGATCTTTTGCTTGGAAACCCCATTTTCTAAATTAGCAGTTGAGAAAGTTATTATAGTCTGAAAAAGCAACTGAAAACTGATTGTTAGGTTAGGGGGCAAAGTAAGCAATGTTCACAAAGATAAAGGCATACTTTCAATTATTGAACAATCTTAAAAGAATATCTATTTTGCTTAGGTACCAACTTTTATATTTTAGGCATTTAAAGTTTTTCTTTTCTTTTCTTTTCTTTTTGATTATTTAAAAGTTATCAAGAGACAGTTCAACTGAGGCATCTTAAACATTTGGCAACTAATGCTAAATAAATGAGTACATATTAGAATAAAGTACAATCCTTTTTCCCTCTTAAAAAGTTACGAAAGACTTTAAATTTTAGTATCTCAAGAATAAAAACAGAAACAAAAATGTATTAGTAGAAAAATTCTGTATTAAAATAGTTCCATATTTTTAAATCCAAAATTAAATATTTTTAAAAAAATGAAATGTAGTAACATTTGAATGATTATAATTATAGGATGGCAATATTTAAACTACCTGTTATTGTTATATGCTATATGTTATAAATGGGTAATTAATCCTAACACGTTGTAGGAATTTC